GTTCCATTAAACTTCTTAAGTTTTTAGAAGTATTTTCTGGAAGGGGGAGGAAAGGGGAGCTGTGGCTCTCGTCCTGATTCCATAGTACCACAGCATGAGAAGACTTGCTGGGGAAAGGTTACGGTTAACAACCAGCAGAGACAATAAAATGAACAAAGGTGCAACAGAGCATCTGTGCTATCTCCTCAAAAATATCTTGTGATAAATTTAAAGCAAGAAAATGCCATAGGGGTTACTTTGAAAGCCAAAAAAATGCAAGAACAGCGAAGAATTTGTTTTGGTTGGACAGTTTGGATGTGTATTCAGGGCAGAGTGCAGGGGACTAAGTAGACAACTTTCATTAACAGCTACACCAGTTTTCCATTCACAGCTGGAAACATAGACCAGACTCCCTCAATATTTATCAGTCTATGTTTAGTGTTAAAATAGATAGGAAGCCAGAAAATGTAGAAGAGAAAAGACAGTGATGCTGTAGGTATGTCTTGAGAATTCTGTGAAGATGTTTAGGCTGGGATTTTCAAATTCCATGTCAACAAGAACTCTATCCCTGACCGTCCTCAGCTCCTTGGGAAATCCTAGCCTTGGAGACTCATTTTACAGTATCATTTTCTTTTTACCTTTTGCTATTTAGTTGAATTAAAACAAAACCAAACAATCACCTTTCTTCCTCCCTCTTGACAAAATGAGTCTGGGCATGGATGCACTAAAACAGCCTCATAGGAACGTATGGGTGGAAGGAACCTCTTGAGACATCAAGTCCAGTTCCCTGTGTTCACAAGCAATTATTTACCCAAAAAATCCTTAAAATAAACTTCAAATGCTCACACACAACTACAAGGCAGAATACCCAAAGCAGTATATCCTACAACATACTGGGCACATCTACATGTGCATATTAATGTGAAGCAATAAACTCTGGCACATATCATCCCGGAGTTTATTGCTCCTGGGCACCACGTTTACATGTGCACATGGAAATGAAGCATGTTGAGCTGTGTTAGAGTAGCCCCAATTGGCAGGGGGCCCAGGGAGTTAGCCTATCAGTGTAGGGCTGCTCTGACGCGGTTCAACATGCCGCAGAGGGGCTCGCTGGGGCACAAGAGTGCTCCAGTAAGGGACCAGTCGGCAGGCAGCACCCCACACTGAAGAACCTTCATGCCCTAGCCACCTAGGTCAGCATCTACATGTGCATTGCTGCTTACGAAAAAAATCTGCAGCAGGACAGTACTTGTATTTACAACTACTAACCTTCTGCAGTTTACTAGTTTTCTGCGGCCTAACAGGGTCGCACATGTAGACATGCAGCTAATTAGGCAACTGCAGTAAACACCTCATGTGGATGCACCCACCATAGCTGAAAGCATGGGAGATGTCCCAATGCCCAGCAACTGTAATGCCATGGAAGTAGCTGATGAAAATCCTAGAAAAGGACACACACTACAAAGGGAGGCATTCTCCCCCCTTACCTTTCCTCATTTCTTGACAATCTGACCTATGGGAAAGAATGCAGGAACTTCTGAGATTTCAAGGTACAAAAAAAGCACCCCAAATTAAAGGAAGGTAAAAACCCCTCTAGATACTTGTAGTATTCATGGGGGAGGGGAGAGAATCCTTCTAGGCCATAACCAATGATCAGCAAAAGCCCTAAAGCATGGGATTATGAGACTACAAGTGAGTGATTTCTATTACACTACAAGCGAGTTACTTCTATACCTTAAGATTCAGACTGCAAATCCATGATTTTGCATACCATACACATGGATTGTTAAGCCATAACTCCTGTCCTATCATACCTTCCCTTTCAGAAGCTTATCCAGTTCAGTCTTAAAGGCTAGGGATAGACATTCAAAAAGCCAGAGTCTGAATTCATTCAATCTTTGCAGGTTAGTCTAACCTGCCCAGACTGAACCAATTTGCAAGTGAATAAACATTCGCTTTTGACTCAGGAAATACAGACACATGCCTGCAGTGGCTCAGATCAGAAGCCAGGGGGTGCTAGTTCATGCCCTCAGCTTCAGAGAAGTTATGCTGGGGGTGTATGGTCAGGCCCAGGCAGTGGCATCAAATGAACTGGCCAGGGAGGCGGTTTAATTCCCCCCTCCCTGTCCCAACAGCATGGACCTAGACCGGGGTCTGCCTGGCATTCTGCTTTCAGTGTTGCAGTGGAGGGGCAGAGACATGGGCAGAGGCCAGCTGCCAGGGCCCCCTGAGGCAAAGGGGGCAAGGAGGAGGTTTATTTTTTGGGGGACCACAGGCGGGGTTTGCCAGATCTGGCTGCCACCTCTGCCAATCACTCCTTGTGCAGGGTGAGTGGTGGAATAAGCCCCTCCCTGCCTCCTTCACCAGAAGCCATAGGGAGGGGTAAAATAAATCCCCTCCCTGCCCCCTTTGCCTAAGGGGGCCATGCCAGCCAGCCTCTGGCCATGCCTTTGCTCCTGCCACTGGAGTAGCAAGGGGGGAGCAACCTTCACAGGGCAGCAGCCCGTCATGGTTTCCCAGGGAGTGCAAGCCTCTTCCCAGCAGGGGGGCTGCACTGTAGGTGGGAGCAGGAGTGGGACAGGCAGAGCTGCCACAGACTGTGTGGGGTGAACAGCAGCAGTGCACTAAAGGAGGCTTAGGGAGCTATGGCCACCCCTTTGAGCTCTGGTGCCACTGCTTATCCCACACACTCAGAGGCAGCTCTGCTTTCCCCACTCCAGCCTGCAAAGCAGTCCTCCCACTGAGAAGAGGCTTGTGCACCCTGGGACACCATGGCCCACTTAGGTGAAGGGGGCAGGGAAACAGTTAATTTCCTCCCTCGATCCAGTGTCTGGAGAAGGGGGCAGGGAGGGGGCTTATTCCACCACTTGCCCTACACAGGGAGAGATCGGTGGAGGCAGCAGCCAGGGTTAGCAGACCTCGGCTGCAGTCGCTGCGGGGAGAGTGGACAGAGGGAAGAATTAAAACCCCTCCCCCGCCTGGCTATAAGTTGGTAGCAGAGGTGGTGGCTGAGGCTGGCAGACCCCAGCTGAGATTTTCTGGAGGGAGAGGGGAGAGAGGAGGGAATAAACCCCTTTCCTGCTCCCTTTGCTTCAGGGGGCCGTTACATGCTGGTATCTGGCCACACCCATGCTTGGGCTAGAGAACAGAGGGGCCAGCTCTGCTCTCTGGAGCACAGAGCACAGCCCAGCCCAGCCCAGCCCAGCCCAGCCCAGGGCTGCAGAGCATCCTGGGATGCTGGAGGACTCTGTTTAACTTAAACCATGAAGGGTCTGAGATGGACGTTGCATAAAGTGGTTTGACCCAAAACAGTTGAGTTTGAACCTACATTCAGCCAGGTTTATCTTAAACCAGTTTTGGCCATTTTGAAACTGGTTTATGTGGACTGAACTTCTGTTCTGTTACAGGTTTAAACCAGTTTCTGATCACTTAAACTAGTGTATGTGTAACTTCTGTCCCTAGCTAAAGTGCTCTTAGCTAAAGGGTTACCTGTCCCTAGCCAAAGAGGTTCTTTGCCTCTATTGTTTGGCTTAAAAGACCACTACAAAATGTCAGTTCTCTGATCATTAGAAACCATTTTGTTTCCAATTTAAATTAATATGTAGCCAGTTTGCAGCTACTTGATTTTGCAAGTGTGTTATTTTTTGCCTAAAAAGCTGTTCTCCCTCTCTAATGCTCACCCAATGAATGTAGTTTTTCTCTCAATCTTTACTTTGTTCAGTTCAATAAGTAAAACTCCTTTAATTTTTTTTTCCATAAGAAAGAGTCTCCAATCCTTTAACTGCCTTAGTAGCCCTCCTTTGAAACCATTCCAGTTAAACTTTGTTTGAATAGTCATAACTAGACTCACATGCAGCATTCTTGGGACTTTGTACAATGATACTAGTAACTTCTTGTCTCTACTCAATATCCTTCAGTGAATACAGCCTGGGATTGCATATTAGCCTTTGTTAGAGCTGTATTACACTGGAAGCTCATGATCTTCCCACAACTGACCAGTACTCCCAGGACTTTCTCTTCCTCAGTTGCCTCTAGTCTATGCACATGTCAGATGGCCAAAGTCCTTGTTACTGATCCCCAACTGCTTGCCTTTGCTCTTCATATAATTAAATTTCATTCTAATGCTCCATTCCATAAGATTATCTAAACATTCCTGTATGATAATCAAATTCACTTCCATAGCAGCAACACCCACCATCTTACTGTCATCTGCAAATTTCATGAGAACATTTTACTCCAGTGCCAGTGTCATAAACAGAAATATTAAACAAGATAGTTCTGTCACTGAGGAACATCACAGGTAACCACACTCCAGTTTGATAACTCACTTTGCAACATAATGTAGCGTAGCATCCCTTTGAGCCAACTCCTTATCCCCCCTCACAAATGTGGCACTGATCCCCATCCTCTCCACTTTGACTAAACATTTCCAATGAGATATGATAGCAAAAGCATTGGTTAAATCTAGATAAATTAAATGATCTGAATAGCCCTATTCAGGAAGTCTGTTTAATTTATCACAGAGGATACTAAATTAGTCTAACATGATCTCCTTCAGCTATACCATTGTTGTGTTTTGTCCCATTTTCCATTTGCTTCTATATCCTTTGTTTATTTCTTTCTTCAGCATCTATTCTAAGACTTTCCCTACTGTTGAAGACAAGCTAATAGGCTTGTAAGTGCCCAGATTACACTTTCTCTGTTTTAAAAGTAGGTACTAAATATCCTATTTTTCAATCATAGGGTATTATCTCTGAATTGACAAATTCAGCAATGGCTTGGGCTGAAGGTGTTACTATTTCATGTGTCAATTGCTTTGATATTCTAGGATGGAGATTATAGCAGCAGGTCTAGACTTTCCAGTTCACTAATTCCAGTAGGTCATAAGATAAATTTGTGTTTTCCCCATCTGAACAATTAACCACTGTGATTTTGCACATGAAAATACCTCTTTTTTAAAATGAAAGGATTGAGCAATGGCATTATTGAAATAAATAAATAAAAATAAAAAGATGACTTACATTGTGGACAAAGAGACAAGTGTATTGAAGGCTCCTGGTGTGAGGGTACTGATGTGATTGTCATATAGTGAGAGTAACCTCACTGAGCTTAGCCCTGCAAAGGTGTCATTGCTTATACAGCTGATTAAGTTGTTCCGCAGCATCCTGCAAAAATTCAGACATTAGAATACTTGTTTGTATTGCTTGAAAGGGGAGAAAAGTTTAGAACAGAGATTAGAACATTGTTTCTCATACAGGGCTGTAACAGATGCTAGGTGAGGACCGGATTTCATTCTGTCCTTTGATGGTCAAAAGCCAAGAAAGGGTCAAATTCACATCTCTACAATGTGTCATGAATGTAAAGCTCATTTCTCTCATATAGCATTAACAGGTTGTGGGTGCCATGCATCTGAAAATACAGTGTGTCTAGATACCTTTGCTATTTAGACATTCAGTAAAATTAAAACATCTATTAATTTGCTAAGCATAAATGTAACCTAAAATGGATTTCTGAGACCACATGATACAGCCTCTGGCTACCTTCTGACCATGATAAGAAACAAACTGCATTAAAAACATTCCCATCCTAAACAGTTTCTTTAAATCCATATTTAAACATCTTAAAATGAAACAACGGTGGCAGAAGCTAATCTTTGCTATAGGAAAAGACTTTTTAGAGCAAAACCTCTGAAATCTCGTTATCACCATTAACTTTCCTGAACCAGACACGGAAGGCAGTATAGACCCTATAAAATGCCTTTTTGCACAGCACTTGGATCAGATGAATTTGAGCTGTGTTTTGGAACATGCATTGTCCTGAGTTGTTATGGTAACAATGACCTTGGTGTTAAAACCTAATTAATCCAAAATAGTGTAGCATCTAATTTATTCTCATAGCAACAAAGGATTTAGAGCTACATGAGGCATATGTCACATTTTCTATCAAATAAGATCTGGGTCCTTACATATCAGTGGGCATGTCTACATGAGATGCTTAATGCAATGTGCTAGGGTGCCGGGCAAAAATGTGCTAATACACTACTACGCAGTAGTGTTAGGCTACTGTGCAGTAAGCATCACAAAAAACCCATAAACTGGTACTACTACGCAGTAACTGTAGTTACCGCACATTTAGTTAGTACTTCATTAAGCAACTACTAAACTAAATGCACAGTAACTAGTGTGCATTACCAAATGTGTAAATGTGCCCACGATGTAGCCGTGATATTCATCTTTGGGTTAAATACCATTCAGTAACTTAAGTGTACCATATGAAGGCTGCAAAACAAGCACAGATTTGTGCATCTGCTCCAAAAGTCTGATCATCTACTATGAAAGCAAGCATTTCTGTGGTATCAAACATGTTCAGTCTGCACTGAATTCAATCCTACTGGATGCCTGGGCTTACACCCCATACTGAGTATTTATAAGGCACTGACAGACACGTTAAAAATGCTAGTGAGAGATGGTTACATTTTAATAAGAGACACTTACATGCTTTTGGGTTTACACACTACTAAATCCAGTTATCATCCCAACCACCTATAGGATAAATACATGGGTCCTACTTCCTCAGGCATTCAAAACCATGTAAAAATCTGAGATCAATAGGAACTCAGAGGGAGAGCTTAGGAAGATACTACCTTTAAGGGGAACCATCATATCATGCCACACAGTATTTCCACCTATGCTTTAAGCTCTAGAAAGAATGTATTAGTACATAAGAAAACTGTTGGGGTCACTTTAGGATTAGGTAACTTTTGGAAGAATAGCATACTACAGCAATATATCAGTATGATGCCCTTTCTGGATTCCATTCAGCAAGGATTAGAGGGTAGCTGAATCTCACTAGAAAGACTGGAAGTGTAAATGCCTATGCATCTCCAATAATCATTTAATATGTTTATAGAAAAAGGATATTAAAATTAGACCATGAATATCTCCAATGTGGCTTCTTGGTTTAAGGCCATAGTTTTTATGTCCGAAGAAAGTAGGCTTATAGATAAAAATACATATATGTCTCTCAAGCCAAAAAATTAAGTTTTATACCAGAACACACCACACACTGTGTGCCCTTCCTGAAGGAACACTTATACTTAGAGATTTTCATTTCATGCTGAGTATATTTAGACTGCTTAAGCAGCTAGGGGGAAAATGCAGGTCAGAACAACAGGACAGCTTCAGAGCTAAATATTTTTTTTTAATGAAAAAAAAAACTTAATCATGTTTGGAAGCACTGCCAGGGGCTACTTTTATAGTATAACAAGTTAATTTAGTATCCACAGACAGTATTTAAAATTTCCTTAGTAAAATGCATGCACCGAATTAAAGAACAGATGGACTATGCCACAAAAAATATATGTTAAAGGAACAGTGAAGGGAAAAGTCTCCATTTCTCATTCTAGGTTAATCTGTCATAGTCTTATGCAGGCAAACCAGTAAGTGAAGTTAACTGAGGGGGTTGTCTTCAATGAGGACTGAAGGAATTGGCACTATGAGACTTTGCAAAGTAAGAAGCTATTTGTTGTCATGTATAAAATGACCATTGTAAATAGTATTTAAATGGCACTTTGAGGCCCTTCTGCTGTATTGTTTAGGTATCTCGTCCTTTAGAATAGGGAGATTGTACAAAATATATATATATATATATATATATATATATATATTTATCAAGTATAGCTCACATTATCAACCATGTGCCATCATTCTTTCTGATTTCACCAGATGCACTGGCTAAGTGCAGACAATCAAAAAGCCCAAAGCTGAATTGATTCAGTCTTTAAAAGTTAGTCTCAGCTGCAAAGATTGAATCAACAAGCGAATGAACAGACATTCACGTTTGATTCAGGAAATGCAACCAGATGCCTGCAGTGGCTTATGCCAGAAGCTGGGGGTTGCTATAGCATGGCTCTCTGGCGCACAGCCAGCATGGGCTGTGTGTTTGCTTCCTCTTCCTGCTGCCCCTGAGGTCTCTAAGATCTGCAGTCCAGACTCACAGCAGCAGGATTCTGCAGTTTCTCATCACTTCCTCTTCTTGCTTCCAGGTACCGTAGAATTTGTAGTCCACATTCACAGCCAGCACCAAGTAAGAAGGGCAGGAAAGCTCCACACTTGGGAGAAGAGAAGTTTAACCCCACTCCCTGGCCCCAGACCCCAGCAGGGGTTTGTCTGAGGGGGAGGGAGGAGCAGTAAGCCAGCAAGTGAGGCCATTGAACCAGCCCTCACTGCTCCAGCTAGGGAGAAGAAGAGTGGGGCCAGCCATGCTCTCTGGAGCAGACAGCCCAGCCCAGCCCAGCCCAGCCCAGCCCAGCCCAGGGCTGGAAATGTTGGGATGCTGGGGGACTCTGATTTAACTTGAACCAGGAAGGGGTCTGAGACAGAACTTTCATAAACTGGTTTGACCTAAATCAGTTAAGTCTGATACTACCTTCAGCCAGGTTTATCTTAAAACCAGTTTCAGCCATTTTCAAACTGGTTTATATGCACTGAACTTCTGTTCTGTAACAGGTTTAAATCAGTTTCTAATCACTTAAACTGGTTTATGTGTAATTTCTGTCCCTAGCCCCCTACACATACTGTAATTTCTGTCTCTAAGGGATGTAACAGATGCCAACAGTGATCCCAGCCTTCTACACATACTGCTTTTTATCTCTATCTAGGCACCACTACATATGCATGGGCAGACCCAAGGTGAAGAGGGCTGCAGCCACACCCCATTTTAGTTGTGGCACCCATACAATGAAGTATTTTGAGTACACTGGCTTGTCTATGTGGCTGCTGGAGCCTGTGCTAGTACATCTCCAGAACCTAAGGGGTGAGCACCACCATAATGTGATTAGATATGGGTTTTAGATGTTTAATTTAAGTTCCCAAGTTATTGAATGTGTTGGTCTGAACTATTCTGATACATCAGAGCTAGCTTTAAACTGGTCAGCTCTGGACTGGTCATAATTGTGTCACTGTATAGCTACTCAGGCTGAGTAGTTACCCAGCTTCTTGCCTGGGCTTTACCTGTGTCATCTTCCATGCTGCCATGGCTAGATTGATGCCTGCTTAAAGCTCATGTATATAAGTTTGTTGCATCGTAGTCCCAGCCCTAAGTGCATAACTCCTAACTCAAAGTTTCCTATTTGTACAATGGTTATAACAATTCATAATTAACATTTGTAAGGCATTATGGAAGAAAGTCACCGTGTGTGAATGTGGTGGTTAAAGTTTTAGTAGAATTTTTAAAAGGTTCTTCAATGTAACAACTTTAAACTGCTAACAATTAAATCCACTCTGCTCTGGCCCAACTCAATCTCACTGTCAAGTTTCCAACCCTTGAAAACCTGGTTTATAAAGAAATAGCAACTGAACACTTTCATTGAACTATAAATATACAGAATACATTTCAGATACAGTGATGCATTCCCTGTCCTGTGAACTCTCTGTTCAAGAACAGTGTTGTTAACCGGCCTGGTTGTTATCAAGCTCCCAAGCTGACACACAAACAGTACTCTTTCAACAGAGGAACACAGGCTTTGCACTTACAATGTCTTGAGTCCTGTGAGGCCCCTAAACATTCGTCCATGCACAGATTCCAGCTGATTCTGTGTCAAAATCAGTTCCTGCACCCCGGATGCCCCATCAAATGTGCCTTCACGGATCTCCTTGATCTTATTGTTTGTCAGGTTTCTGCAGAGGGAAAGCAATGGTAATAGGAAAAAACATTACTGTTGTGCTCCAAACATTAATTAGCACAAGATAAAAAGAAGCTTAAGAAATTCTTTCTGCCTTAAAGAAATTACACAGACAAATCTGCAGTCTGCAATAGAGGTGAAGCATCATCTCAAATGCACATTTACTTCCCCTTTCACACCATCTCTGACTAAGACAATCGTGTCAGGATAGGCAAAACAGTTGATATAAGCATGTGCAAAGTCAATGAAGTTGTGCATGATCCAAATCTGCCTCTTAATGGTTTTGGTCCTGCGAGATGCAGAACACTCCAGCACTCTACTCTTGTGCATCAAGTTCAGCACCCGCTTATACATTTTGCAGGGCCTGAGCATTCAGCACCTGGCAAGATCAAGTTTTATGACTTTGGCAAGGAGCAGACAGAGTGAATCCCAGGTGAACAGAGAGAAGTCCTGAGAAATCCACTATATTTATGTTTCATTTATGCTACGTGTCTGAACAATAATGAAATGCAGAAGCATAGCAAATGATGTGAGCACATATGTATTAGTGATATATTCCAACATTTAAGTTCATAAACAATAAAGCACATTGTTAATAATTTAAATATGATTTAAAATTATTATATTCTTAGATATTCTTACCACATTATATAGCTTTATATTCTAAACATTTACCCTGAAAGTAGTTTAAGAATGTATATCACTCATATCTGAAAAACCTTAACTATAAATCAAGAAAAAAAATGAAGAATCTTGAAATAAACTGAAGAATTAAACCTGTTCTGTATATGTTGCTTCTGTGAAAAGGCCAAATGAAAGGAAAGCTTAAATGATAAAATGTTGTTAGAAATGTATTAACAAAGGCAACTTTTAATTATAAAAAATACGTATATAAAATGCCATAAGTTTTTTTTTTTTAGTCTTAGGTCTCTACCTTGTTAAAAATTACTGTGAAACTCAGAGAGACAAGCATTTTTTGTGATATGTTTTACTGGATAAACTATATAGTTGGGAGAACTGTTGGACAAATTTTCAGCAGTCAAGTGCTCTTCCTTAGGTCACTTCCACTGTTAAGCTCAGTGCAGTGCCATCTATGACTGAACTGAGGACTTGATCTTGCTGTCAGTGTGATCCGTTACCTGCTCATTTAAATTCAAATAGGAACTTTCCCCCACCCCAAAACAGGACATCTGTCTATTGTGATATTAAGCTGTCTAAACTAGACCCTTCACCTCCTTCCCTACAGTACAAAGTGGAAGGTTTATTCTATGGACTACAGATTTAGGTGCAGAGCACTATTCTTTTTAGCAAGGGTTTGAAGTAAAGGACCATTCATACAAGATTCTCCCTGTTTAAAAGAGCTTACAAATACAGAACAGATTCTAATGCCACATGGCGTAAGCTGAGACTGCTGAGTAGGACCTTACGTCCAAAATGTTCCCTTGGCTAACTCAGTATGAGTAATGGCATCGGGATCTGACCCTGAATAAAGGAAGCAAACAACCAAATATTACACTGAAGTTTGAACCATGACATTCGGAAGAGGAGGTAGTTTGGGTTTGGATAAGGGTTGATGGAACACATGGCAACAGGATAATTTTGCTCTTAGCTGAAAACAAGCAGCAGGGGGGTTGGTCTTTGAAAAGGTTTTTACTGAATAAAAGGAATGTTGAAGCCTGAAGATGGCTTTCATGTGGTAATCTCCACTGGTTTATGGTTTATGTATCCTGAACAACTGTCAGATACTAGACCATATAACATGTGACCCATAGCCCTTCATGAATTCTGTAACCAGAAATCAGGGGAAAGAATGCCAATAATGAGGCAAAATAATTATGGATATAGCATTTTTTTCTCTTTTTCCCAAAGTTTTCTGCTTTGTACTTTCATCTATGATATGATGACCAGGGTTTATGTTCAGTGTCAAGGCTAGCCTAGGCAGGATGTAGTGACATATGAATTTAATTTTCAGCTGTACTGTTATTTGATAGAAGTAATTTATAGTTTAGCATCTTTTTTGTATCTGTTATATTATTTCTTGCATTGCTCATGGGGACATTTTCTGGTGTTATCCATGGAATGAGGCTTACTCACAAAAAAGAATTTGGTCCTATGGCTTATAATTAATACATGTCATGTACATAAAAGAGTGACTGCAGTATACTTCTTAGTGGACAGTCATATATTCTCATTGCACAGACCAAATGCACTTAGGTGTGCACGCTACAGGACTTGTCCTCTATCCCTTGAGCTGGTCAGATTAGAGAAGCCTGCTCTTTTGCTGACATCAAGGTTGTTTCTGTAGATAGATGACACCCCTGCTGTGGTTGCTAGTTCCTCTCCTTTCTTCAGAATCAAGTAATCATTAATTTAAGGATCCAATGTTTTAAGGCAAAAAAATTGACCTTGCTCAAAATAACTTAAAATTATATATAAAACATTACAAAATGACTCAAACAATGGGAATAAGGAAAGGTGTGCTTTATAGCGATAAATAAGTAAGAGACTACTCTGTAGTTTCACTGGGACTTCTTGCCAACATGGGCTCCTTTATTTGTTTTCCAGAGCTCAACGTTTCTCCCATTAGAGTATATAAAAACAAGCAAGAAAGCAATTGTTCTGTACAAAGATATTTCACATTCTGTGAAGGCGTCCTTAAGTACTATCTGGAATCTTGAAAGATGTAGTGAGAATGCGAGGCCCTGGAAATTATGCACTTTGCATTCAGGAACTACTGGCAACAGCTAAAAGAAAAAAACAGTTCAAATGTTGCTCTTTTTGTCTCACAATTTGGGCAGGAAAACAAAAACAAAACAAAACAAAAAACCCAAAACAACAGATTGCCATTTCTACAGGTGACAACACTTTACATTAAAAACACCATGTTTCGATCTGGAACAGACTTCTGAAAAACCCCCTGACTCTGCAGCAGACGTACTATCTCAAACATTAAAAGTTGTGTCCTGCAGGAATGCTAAGATTCTATCCCAAGGATTAGTTGACATAAAGGCTTTGAAATAATATTAGAACAACCCTGGCAACCTTCCACCTGAATCTTATTTTCCATCTGTTATTATGGATTTGCTTTACAGAGATGCATGAGCTTTCTTTTAAGTGAATTTGTTGGTAGAATTGGTGCTGGGTCACCTATATGATTGTATGGGGTACAATCATAGAATATATGTACTAATAGTATTTACTATTGCAGTAGTATTTCCCCTGCACAGTCTCACTGGTGTAGCCACACCTTCTGGAACACAGACTATAGTTTAGTGGCTATAATACACAATTGGAGGTTGTGAGTTCTGTTCTCACCTCTTTCACTGATAACTGAGCTAATCTCAAAATGTCACTATCACTGTGCCTGTCTAAGTGACACCTCTATACAAGACAAATGTAAAGAAAATAACTGATGGTGCTATAAAATGTTAGTGCTCCAAGCCTGTATGCACCCCACATCAGCATTGTATTCTTCTAAAAAAAACTGAATGCACTACAAGTTTATGAGACAGGCCTTCAATGACTTTTTGGTATCTGTGATGAGCTATCATGTAAATTTATACTGAGGGATTTCCAAGAAAGTGGACACAGTTGAACCCCCAAATCAATTGTGTCAGTGGCTCCTTTGGGACTATTTAAATGCACAGCTTATTGACAGATCATGCAAAGGAACCAAGCTAAAAGCTGCTCATGTGCACTATGATTGAATACAAATGGGTTCAGATATGTAGGGAAGAGAATGCGACTGCCATGCCTCTCCCTGGGAATAGATTATTTTACCTTGCTGTATGATCATAATGCAAATGGGCATAAATATACTAATGATTGTGAACTGGTTAAATATTATGGAAATTGGACATAAAATGGGTAGCTGGAGCAGGGTAAATTTACTTTGTTATTGTTAGAAGCAAGACTCATTCTACCAGTAGCATTTGAGCAAGGGTTTATTCTGCACTATCTTGGTTCCCTGTCTGACATATAAGGTAAAAAACAAGAAGTACAGGGAACAGAAAGGAACCTGACCCTGCATTAATGAGTTCCCTGCTGTGCAGCTGCCAGCTTTACTCCTACCTCACAGTTGCAGCACTGAGACCTACAAGAGGAAGGCATGATTAAGAGCTTCATTACTATAAAGATCACTTAAGTCCAGGTCCCCACGGACACGTCCGTTCTCTGCCTACACCCTGCCCTTGTGCATAAGAGAGAAGGGTCACAGCGGGTTTGAAGCTACTAATTACCAGTGCTCTTTGGCAAAGACTAATCATAGGGCACTTAACCTCATTTGTGTTCACACATAGCTTCCACTTACTCTTCCACTGGGGTGAAACAGCCTGACACACTCCACAAGAGTAGCAGACTAAATGCTCTGCCTCTGAAGATGTCTTGTTAATATTGCTGTTTTTACACAGTGATGACAATTCCTGATGTCCATTGCTACCATGCAAGAAAATCCATGTGGACTACTGAAGAGGGAACAGGTCTTGAGATTTGTATGTGTGTGCCCCTGATGTCTTTTGACATCATGCAGACAGAGTCAGAAGTTGTCAGGAAAGATTTTGCTTTCCAAATACTTTAACTTGTGTCTAGTGATAAAGTTTAAATCCACCCCAGCCCTACAGCTTCAGGGAGGAGGAAAACAGGAACCTGCTGGGAGAATGAATATACATTCAGATGCGACTCTGTATACAAAGGGAAAAGATCTATGAAATATAAAGGCAATGGCATCATTTCTTCACAGTTACTTTTCAGAGCTATATTAGTTTACATCGTTCACCAAAGTTTATAAGGATATAAGGCTCTTCAGAGATGATATAGCTAGAGGAAAGGAAATTGAATCCAGTTCTGGCTCATGCATCCAGTTTCATAGTTGGTAGTCAGAAGGGACCTGGGCAGATCATCAAGTCTGACCCCCTGGCATGGCAGGAAAGAGTACTGGGGTCAAACAACCCCGGTGAGGTGTTCATCTAGCCTCCTCTTAAAGACCCACAGGGAACC